GTTGTTGAAATCCAATATTGATTGTTTCTAATCTCTAGCAGATATTAGCAGGTTGAGTGTTGCTGCGTTCGCAGCCATATTGGTGTTTCCTTAAATGAGTGTGCGGACACTGCCGCTATGGAGGTTATTCCCACTTGTTCCATATTCCGTTTTCTACCCAGTTATTCATTCCTCGATTCATGTCCGGTGGCAAGGCTCGTTGGTCTTGTGATACTGGTAACAAACTGCGGGCTCTTAAGAGTGTCCTCTTAGTGTGTCCTCATGGCCTTCCTCCAACCTCCGTAACCGGCGGTGGGAAACTGCTCCGGCTAGGTTACGTATTGGCCATACATGTTTAACTCACGGACACTTAATGGAGCGCCACACTGCTCCTTATTGTCCAAACTGTATTGTCCCTCTTACAGTCGTGCTCTGTTGAATATCCAGACGTCCAGGACGTGCGTGTCTTGCTTCCCGACCGTCCCTGGCGGTCACTTGTCCTTTGATAGAATTTCTGGTGAATCAGATACCTTCCATATCGTTTGCCTTATGCGGTTTTGTTTTCGTATTGGCATCCTTAGTGATATTTAGAGCTTGTTGAATACCCTGCACTTTTATGGTGCTACATAGCCTTCCCCGCTTGGTGCCTTCTTTTGATAATTACTTATATACTTGACTATGCGTGGCATAGTAAACTCGCCACACCAGACTGCCGATGGAAATGGATGTTCATCACAGAAGAGAACTCACAGGATGTAGCAAACAAGCAGTTTGAGTGTACATGTGTCTCAGTTTACACTGGTTATGTCAACAAGGTGACGCGAGTTCTGTCTATCACAGCGGCCAGCAGTCGCTGCAAGTAATTTATTGGATAGATAATCTAGTTTTGAAAAATATTATATATATGGGAATGACATAAGTGCTCATTGAGGTATCGTTGATTAACTCGTCTATATATTTACCTAAACGTGTATTGATCACTGTACTCAGTGGCGTTCATTAGGGTGAGAGCTCTCCAGGTAGGAAGACAGTCACCTTCTTTCCATAATATTTCTACATCAGTGCCTGGCGGGGAGCCGTTGGCTGAGCGGTCAGAACACTGGACGCGTGATCCTCTGGCCCCGTGTTCGATCCCGGGTGCCGGCGAGAAACAATGGGCAGAGTTTCTTTCACCCTGATGAACCGTGCTTTCACCATGCTCACGGCCGTACCCTGGACCGTGCTCCCGGCCGTACACTGGACCGTGCTCACGGCCGTACACTGGACCGTGCTCCCGGCCGTGCACTGGACCGTGCTCCCGGCCGTACACTGGACCGTGCTCCCGGCCGTACATTGGACCGTGCTCACAGCCGTACACTGGACCGTGCTCCCGGCCGTGCACTGGACCGTGCTCCCGGCCGTACACTGGACCGTGCTCCCGGCCGTGCACTGGACCGTGCTCACAGCCGTACACTGGACCGTGCTCCCGGCCGTACACTGGACCGTGCTCCCGGCCGTACACTGGACCGTGCTCCCGGCCGTACATTGGACCGTGCTCCCGGCCGTACACTGGACCGTGCTCCCGGCCGTGCACTGGACCGTGCTCCCGGCCGTACATTGGACCGTGCTCCCGGCCGTACACTGGACCGTGCTCACAGCCGTACACTGGACCGTGCTCACAGCCGTACATTGGACCGTGCTCACAGCCGTACACTGGACCGTGCTCACAGCCGTACATTGGACCGTGCTCACAGCCGTACACTGGACCGTGCTCACAGCCGTACATTGGACCGTGCTCACAGCCGTACACTGGCCCGTGCTCACAGCCGTACACTGGACCGTGCTCCCGGCCGTACACTGGATCGTGCTCCCGGCCGTACACTGGACCGTGCTCCCGGCCGTACACTGAACCGTGCTCCCGGCCGTACACTGGACCGTGCTCACAGCCGTACACTGGACCGTGCTCCCGGCCGTACACTGGACCGTGCTCCCGGCCGTACACTGGACCGTGCTCCCGGCCGTACACTGGACCGTGCTCCCGGCCGTACACTGGACCGTGCTCACAGCCGTACATTGGACCGTGCTCACAGCCGTACACTGGACCGTGCTCACAGCCGTACACTGGACCGTGCTCCCGGCCGTACACTGGACCGTGCTCACAGCCGTACACTGGACCGTGCTCCCGGCCGTACACTGGACCGTGCTCACAGCCGTACACTAGACCGTGCTCCCGGCCGTACACTGGACCGTGCTCCCAGCCGTACACTGGACCGTGCTCCCGGCCGTACACTGGACCGTGCTCCCGGCCGTACACTGGACCGTGCTCACAGCCGTACACTGGACCGTGCTCCCGGCCGTACACTGGACCGTGCTCCCGGCCGTACACTGGACCGTGCTCCCGGCCGTACACTGGACCGTGCTCCCGGCCGTACACTGGACCGTGCTCCCGGCCGTACACTAGACCGTGCTCCCGGCCGTACACTGGACCGTGCTCCCAGCCGTGCCATGGTCCATGCACTGGGCCTGGACACAGTGGACCCATTGCATGGGGTCATTCACTGGGTCTGTATCACTGGCTGTTGTAATGTCACCTTAATACACTCTTGAATGACAATGTAAACATAATGACTCTTAGTAATCACCGCTAATAACACATAAGTCAATATAATCAAAGATATGAGAGCGTTGAGAATACAAATAAACAGTTTATTGTGAAATAATAATTCTAATCTCATTTAGTCCTCCACCGAATCACTACTCATTAGTGGCAGTCAAAATACACACGAATACATAAAAAGACTACAGGTTATCTTGAGATGATTTCGGGGCTTTAGTATCCCCGCGGCCCGGTCCTCGACCAGGCCTCCACCCCCCACGAAGCAGCCCGTAACAGCTGACTAACTCCCAGGTACCTATTTAGTACTAGGTAACAGACGCATCAGGGTGAAAAAAACTGTGCCCATTGTTTCTCGCCGGCGCCCGGGATCGAACCCGGGACCACAGGATGACGCGTCCAGTGTTCTGTTCGCTCAGCCACCGGCTCCTTCGGCTCCACCGGCTCTAATATAATATAGGCTTCCTGTCCCGGTAACTAAAATTGTAAATTTCCTTTGTACTTGGTTGAGAGATGAGTGTCCGTGTTCCATGTGAAGTCTGATTCATCTTGCTGGAGACCATTATTGATGTACATATTGGTCAACGACAGGTTGTGTTAACCTGTGGTCCCTTGACCAGACCTCACACTACAAGGTGAAGGGACGACGACGTTTCGGTCCGTCCTGGACCCTTCTATAATATAGAATGTAGTGACAATCTCAAGTTGACTGTCTTTATATCGACTTGAGAATGGTCCAGGACGGACCGAAACGTCGTCGTCCCTTCACCTTCTAGTGTTTGGTCCGGTCACCACACTTTAGCCTCGTTATTGTGACTCATTGCCTGTGTTCCCTTACCATTACTCACTATATATACTGTAGACTCATGAGAGAAAGGAGGAATATAAAAACCACGAAAACTTTGGATGTTTATAATCGCCACGTGGTCATAGATATGTACAATAAAATCTCCACTTACCTAAATACTATTTATTCTTTACAATCGGGCATTTATTATGTTCTGGAAGAGGGCGAGGAATTGTCAACACTAAACATATCCAGAAACTTAACAGTTAACATGGCTAGATTAAGAGAACTCTGGACAAATGTTGCACGGGATATTGCATGCAAATCATCGTATGCAAATTAGCATACAAATTGGATAATCAGAATAAAATGAAGCATAATTTTATTACTGGAATGAAGATATTGGAACATCTGAATTTGTGTAAAATATATGGCGTTTGTAGTGGCGGGGATGTGTCGTGTAATGCTGATATGTGGCAGGGTGGCAGGGTGGCAGGCCGGCAGGCAGGGCGGGAGGCAGGCAGGCAGGGAGGGAGGCAGGCCGGCAGGGAGGGAGGCAGGCCGGTAGGGAGGGAGGGAGGCAGGTCGGCAGGGAGGGAGGCAGGCCGGCAGGGAGGGAGGCAGGACGGCAGGGAGGGAGGGAGGCAGGCCGGCAGGGAGGGAGGCAGGCCGGTAGGGAGGGCGGGAAGCCGGCAGGGAGGGAGGCAGGCAGGCCGGCAGGGAGGGTGGGAGGCAGGCCGGCAGGGAGGGTGGGAGGCCGGCCGGCAGGGAGGGCGGGAGGCAGGCCGGCAGGGAGGGAGGCAGGCTGGCAGGGAGGGAGGGCGGGAGGCAGGCCGGTAGGGGAGGGACGGAGGGAGGCAGGCCGGCAGGCAGGGAGGGAGGCGGGGGGGGGGGGGGGGGGGGGGGGCAGGGAGGGGCCATGCATAATAGGCCGAGTACTGCATTCTGGCAACTAGGTACAACATATATATATGTACATATGTACTCTCTCATTATATATATATATATATATATATATATATATATATATATATATATATATATATATATATATATATATATATATATATATATATATATATATATATATATATATATATATATATATATATATATATGAGAGATATATATATATATAATAAGAGAGAGAGAGAGAGAGATAGAGGAGAGAGGCAGGGGACCTGAAGAAGGCAGCGTTACACAGGGCAGCAAGAGGCAAGAGTGGTATAGTTCTCGTTAAAGCAAAATGACCTAATTACTTATTTTTTCTGTGAAGCTTGGGCGTCCAGTGATCTCATTTCCCCCACCAGGACCACGCCGGGACCCCACCGCTCCCACCCTAATTGGAAACAAGTGATTAACGATCGTTAGTTAGGGCGAATTGGTCTCAACGGAAACTAAAAATATATGGGAGGGAATTATCTGTGTACAGTGATTTTTGTAGGTTTTCTAAATAACAAAATTTTATATAAAAGTTTTTCAACTATATAATGACCTTGTATGGTGAGCATGAGCCGCAAAGTTCTGCCCTTCGAACTATTGTATGGTTAGTGTAGACTATTTGTTCTCTCTATTGTTTCATCATATTTACATATAAAATTATGTATAGAGCTAGCTTGAACTATTTCCCCTTGTAACCCATTTGTTTATAATTCCTACAACGAAGAAGTACTTTCTGATATCTCTGAATCATCTGAGTCTGGTTTGCCAATTCCCCTTTGTATCTTATATCTCGTTGTCATGTCTTTTCCTCCGGTGTAGTGAGGCCCAGTTCCCTCAGCTCAAGAATAGGGTTCTTGTATACGTTTTTATCTATTATAGTTTTGTGCTCATTTAGTTGTGGGTTCCGTGTCGGGGCAGCAGCTTCAGCATGTGGTGAACAACACCCGAAAACGATTTTTTATATCAGTTCCTGACGGTTCTCCATACGTTGGCCAGTTAGGGTTATGCCGCTGATGCTGTTATGTTGGACCATGTCTCTTGTAGAACCATGTTGGACAATGTCTCTTATTGGACCATGTGGGACCATGTCTCTTGTAGAACCATGTTGGACAATGTCTCTTATTGGACCATGTTGGACCATATCTCTTGTTGAACCATGTTGGACCATGTTTCTTATTGGACCATGTTGAAATCTTGTTATATATTCCTGCAGTTTTCTGCGCATCTAGCATCTATATAAGGTTTTCATTATTAGCAAAGGTTGAGTTAAGAATTAACCTACTCTGGGTGTTGCTGGCTCTGGCACAGGACTGGCCTTAGTACTGACCTTCTCTGGTAACTTTCTCAAATGTTCTCCGACTGTGACTGTCTGTCTTTTGTTGCTGAGGACAAGGGTAGCTGAGGCTTCCCTTATCCATTGCTGCACCTTCGCTATCAGTTCCTCCTGTTACTCAAACTTTTTTACTTGATACAAATATTTAGTCTGTCCACCGTTGTCTTGTCTTGTCTGGTTTTGAGTTATAAAGGCCCTTCTTTTTTAATGTTCTACTAAACTTTCAACTTTCATGAAATTCAAGTAAGCGACGCTGGCCTGTATTGCATTTTTAATATTGACACTAAATAGGATGTTTTTAAAATTTGTGGAAGCTCTTCTGTCCGTACTGTATTGTCACAGTATGGGGCCAGCTCAGGGCTTCATCTCCTTCTTTTAGTATTCACGGGGAAATCTTTCGCCGATCCCTCAAACTTTGCTCTTTACTTCATCTCTGGTAATCATAAAATCCTCCAGAGCTGCTTGGTTTGATATCATCTCTCCCAGTTCAGGTACGTTCTATTAGTCTATTGTGAAGACCTTCTGTAATCTCCCAATCTCTCTTTGGCTCTTTCGGTCCCGCCTCTCAACTGTCAATATACTGGTGTGCAGGTTCCTTAGCTTATTGAGCTTTATCTTATCTAAATTTGAAACAGTGTATTTAGTCTACTTCCACTACATAAATTCCAAATGCATTCCATTGTTAATTTGACTGAAAACGTTCTTTCTAATGGCCCCTGTGGCTCATTTGGGTACTCAACTTCCACTTGTGTCAACTCAACTTCCCCTTGTGTGAGTAACACCCATGTTAAATAATCCGTCCTTATCTACTCTGTCAATTTTCCCTGAGAATTTTGTATGTGGTGATCATGTCTCACTGAGCTCCTCTGTCTTTCAGCGTCGTGAGGTGCAATTCCCATAGTCTTTCCCCGTGCCTCTTAGTGCAGGGACTAGTGCCATACCTTTGACACCCAGGTTCCTAATCATTGCTAGGTGAACAGAAGCATTGGGTGTAAGAAGACTTGCCCATACGTCTCGTCTTGTTCGGGATGTACTCACCTAGTTGTACTCACACACACACACACACTAGGTGTGTGTGTGTGTGTGTGTGTGTGTGTGTGTGTGTGTGTGTGTGTGTGTGTGTGTGTGTGTGTGTGTGTGTGTACTCACCTAGTACTCACCTAGTTGTGTTTGCAGGGGTTGAGCTCTGGCTCTTTGGTCCCGCCTCTCAACCGTCAATCAACAGGTGTACAGATTCCTGAGCCTATCGGGCTCTGTCATATCTACACTTGAAACTGTGGATGGAGTCAGCCTCCACCACATCACCCCCTAATGCATTCCATTTGTCAACCACTCTGACACTAAAAAAGTTCTTTCTAATATCTCTGTGGCTCATTTGGGCACTCAGTTTCCACCTGTGTCCCCTTGTGCGTGGTCCCCTTGTGTTAAATAGACTGTCTTTATCTACCCTATCAATTCCCTTCAGAATCTTGAATGTGGTGATCATGTCCCCCCTAACTCTTCTGTCTTCCAGCGAAGTGAGGTTTAATTCCCGTAGTCTCTCCTCGTAGCTCATACCTCTCAGCTCGGGTACTAGTCTGGTGGCAAACCTTTGAACCTTTTCCAGTTTAGTCTTATCCTTGACTAGATATGGACTCCATGCTGGGGCTGCATACTCCAGGATTGGCCTGACATATGTGGTATACAAAGTTCTGAATGATTCTTTACACAAATTTCTGAATGCCGTTCGTATGTTGGCCAGCCTGGCATATGCCGCTGATGTTATCCGCTTGATATGTGTTGCAGGAGACAGGTCTGGCGTGATATCAACCCCCAAGTCTTTTTCCTTCTCTGACTCCTGAAGAATTTCCTCTCCCAGATGATACC